CACGCCACTGTATTATACAGTATGCGTCGTCGATATGCTCGGATATATCCGTGCCTTACGAAATGCTGAGATGCTCAGAAATCTTAAAACACATGTTTGGTCCAAAGAAATGAATTTAGTTTCAGAACTAAATTTCTGTGCAAAAAAAAAAGAAGTTTTGACGACAATTTTTAATTTCAATAAATTCCGTTTCCATTTTAAAAGTTGAGAGTAACAGAAGAGGAAACACAAAAAAGAAGAACAAAAAATGAAAAACTTTCTTCTCGAATACTTTGTGCTTGAAAAGCTTTTACTAAACATTCCCCAATTTTTGGTGCATTTCCATTCCAGAACTATGAAAGAATGAATTTGGCTGATGCACTTGGACCAAAATCATTCAGCAAAGGTGATAGAATAATTAAACAAGGTATGATCAAATCTAAACCGCAAAAATATTTTACAATTAAATGCTCGAAGTCAAACTCTTCAAAATGCTAATGTTTCGTGTTGTAAATTGTGATGCAAATAGGTGACGCCGCTGATGGTATGTATTTCATAGAAGACGGAAGTGTTTCAATCCGCATCGAACAAGATGCCGGAGAAGTGGAAATTTCAGTATTGAGCAAAGGTCAATACTTTGGTGAATTGGCATTAGTCACACATCGACCACGTGCTGCTTCTGCATATGCAGCATCCGATGTCAAAGTTGCATGTGAGTATTCAGTTCAATAAATAAAGATAAAAGATAAAGAAATGTCATTTTATCGCTTTAACTCTTTGCTGAAAATGGGCGCTCTTGGTATAAATGATTAAGTTCAATTTGATTCAAACGATCTTACATGTTTTGAATCATTGGCGTTTTTCTTCTTCTGATTTTCATCAAAAAGAACGATTTAATTCAAATTAAATGTATATTTGAACGCGTGAGAATAAAAGCCTGACGCTAGCAGGTTTTTCGCAAAAGCGGGATAAAAATCAGTTGCACGCAAAAGAGACATTTCAAAAGGTTACACGCAAACGGAACATTTTATTTTGTCGCATTTTGAATTTTAAAGCCGTGAGTACAACAACAATATACTTATCTCTTGCGTGCAACCTTTTAAAATGTCTCTTTTGCGTGCAACTGATTTTTATCCCGCTTTTGCGAAAAACCTGCTAGCGTCAGTCTTTTATTCTCACGCGTTCATTTGACAACGAAGGAGAATTTCTAAAAAAAAAAAAACTCCAAACGAAAAAAGAAATTCTGCAAATTTTGTAAGAAAAAAGAACTTATAGAAACGTGACAAACTGAAGAAAAATCCCCAATTTAACATTTCGAATCAAGAAATTTTGCTTGATGCCGTGCTGCTTGGTATGACTACTTTTTTCATTGATTTTTAATTTGTTTTTTCCCTTCATTTTTGGCCACCCTTGAACCGTAACCACACTCCACACACACACACAGTCTTGGATGTTGACGCATTCGAACGACTACTTGGCCCATGTATGGATTTAATGAAGCGTAGCATTGGCGATTACGAGACACAGCTCATCAAAATATTTGGCAGCAAAAACAACATCACAGACATCCGATAAATATTGATCAAATCCAAAGTCCGATAATAATTTCTATTTATACAATTATTAAAAAAAAATGAAAACAAATCATAGCTGAGCAAAAGAGAGAAAAAAACTAAGTAAACAAAAAATTGGAAACTAGAACAAAAAAAATGGAAAAAATACAATCAAACAAAATTGGTTAATACTTTTATTTTCGATTAAAATAGTAAAAAATTAAATCAAAGCAAAGTAAATAATATTGAAATAAAAAAATAAAGTAAACATATAAAATAACTTCAATTCAAAGAAAACAAAAACAACAGCAGCAAACAACAACAGCAAAAAAAAATGCACAGCACAAATGAATTGAGATGAGACAATGGCTAGCGCGACCGATCGTGTGTACATGTGTTCCAAACCATTTCTATCATAATCAACTTTTCTGATTAAAACAAAAAAAACAACAAATAATGACATCACCGTGAGTGTATGTCTAAAAGCGCGAAAATTTGGAACAACGTGGACGCGACCGATGAAAATAGGGAAAAAAAATGAATGGAAAAAAATGGTGTTCATCGGCGGCAACATCAAATACATACAACGCCATATATTTCATGCGAAGAAGAAGAAGAAGAAAAAAAAATCAATGGACCGTACAAATAACAAGAAAAAAACGTCGAGCCACAAATCGATTTTGTGTTTTGTATTTTACACACACCGAATTTAATCGTATAGAAAATTTTAATTTTTTCAAACAAACAAAAACCCGTACAGACCAAATAAACAACAAACCAACCGCCGCCGCCGCAGCAGCAGCAGCAGCATCAACAGCAGCATTCAAAATACACACACACACACCATATAAACTTTATGAACTCATTTGTAACAACAACAAAAATTAATTCAAATCAACCGTTACAACCAAGGGTGCAAATCACACAAATATTTCAAACAAACAAACAAAATAATGAAGAAAAAAATCAACCCCAAAAAATCCCATGAGTTTACACTATAATTTTAATCAATCAAAACTAATGCATTAAAAACAAGCAATTTGTTTGAGGAGACAAGGTAGTTTAACAATGATAAACAAAACAAAAAAAAATACAAGAAAAACCAAAATGAAAAAAAATATATTAAAAAAAAATATTGCGGCTAGAAGCCAGTGAAAGCTGTGTGCATGTGCGTGAGGGCGAGAAAAATTGAACAGATAGATAAAGCGAGAGCGAACGAACGAGCGAAAGAAAGAGAGAAACAAAAAAATAAGAAAAAAAAGCAAAAAAAAAAACTTATATGACATGATACAATGAAAAAAAGTAAATAAATTAAAAAAAAATATTAAAAAAATTAATAGTATTACAAAAAGGCATTGGGGCCTGGTGTGTGTATGTGCGAAGGTCTATAGGTCACTTCAGTCGCATAGCTGCAACAGCTTGACGCTTTGCGCCCCGAACGCGCTTACAAAATGAGATAGAGGGAGAGAAAAATAACAGAGCAAAAAGAAAATGCATATATATATACATAGGTCCTGCCCAATGAATACATAATGTTGGTGTTGTAACACGAAAAATAAACAAAAAATATTGTGTTATTATTGTAAGTGTTATTATTTATTGAAGAGAAGAGAAAAAAAAACAAACCAAACAAACAACAACAAAAAACAAATTTTACTTTTGTTTGCATTTGATGTACAATTTTGTACATGAATTACTAAATACTACAACTTTTTTTTTGTTTCGTTTTGTTTTTGAAATTCTTATTATTTTTTTTCTTTTTTTTCTATTTATTTTAAATTAAGTACAAACAAAAAAAAGGAAGAAGAAAAAAAAACAAACATATGTCATTATTTTGCAAATTTTCAAAAGCGATTTAGTATTTCGGGGGGGATATTTTGCCATTTCTCATTAATTTGATTGAAATAATTATTTACATATATATTTATTCATTTTGCCATGAACATGAACGTCATATCAATCGGCTCATGAACTTGAACAAATATATAGATATATTAAAACACAAAATACACAGTGAGCGAGAGACATAAAAACGGTTAAGTAGACAAATTAACAAGAAAATAAACTCTAGAGAATGTTTAGTTGATTTGCCCAAGTTCTCGTTGAAACGAACATGAAGTGAAGAGGATAGCGAAGGAAAAGGAGAATATACATGAATTTTTTTCGTTTTGTTTCTAACCACAAATCAATCAAATTGTCCGATAGAAGTGTAGCAATATGTTTATAATTTTAATTTTAAACGCAAACACTGAGAAAAGTGTATAAAATAAACAAACAAAAACAAACCGTACATTAACATCATTTAATTTGTCAAAATAATTCTTTCCTGATTACATTAAGCAACAACAACAAAATGATTATGGAATACAAAGCTGAACATATTCATAAATTAAATTGTACAAAAAAAACACACAAAAAATATACTGTATCTGTATTTCTTTTATTAGTTTTTATTCAGCAATTACAATAGGCAATGAGAAAGAAAACCCAATGTGATCATTTTCACAGTAATAGACGCTCCCATGAAATGTTGCTCTCGCCGAGAGCCTCTCGAAAGATTTAATATGTGAAACGAAACATGTACACTTTTCTACAACTTCTACTTCTATTTGCGCACCAAATCTATCTCATTTTTAAGCCGAATGTGTCTAAATAAAACCCTCTCTCCTTACAATTCACCCTTAAATGCCAGCGTTACTTTCCCTCTCCCATTTGTAACTTGGTGAATTGATTATTTTTTGGCATCCGAAATGGAAATGTTTTTTTCTTTTCGTTTCTTTTCCATTCGTTGCCTTTCCAATTCTTTCTTTCATTGGATTGATTTTTTTGAAACCACAAATCAAATAGGGCGTAGCTGATCCAATTCCATTTTCTGAAATAATTCCAAAATCAAACGAATACTGAAGCTCAGCTCATGCCAACTATCAAGAATCATAACTCTATTGAGTTTCACCTGAACTGAAGAGGCAACAGATTTTGCATTTTTTTTTTCTTTGTTCTATCATTCCTGTCTGTGAAAATAATTAAGAACAATTGATTTAGTCGTCTATAAATCGACTAGATTTATCATCCGCAACACATTCATTTTGGATTTTAAATGAATAATATTACGCGTGTTCGATCGTTTTCGCACGATCAACTCTTGTATGTAGTACTAAAAAAATCAAACATCGGATAATTTATTTGCACAATTAATTTGCAAAGTACAAGCAAACACAAACACACACAAAAAAAAACCAAAGCAAAACAAAATTTGATTAGCTAGAATATTCGAAACAAATAATTGCACTGTAGGTGGTGCAAATTGAATTTGAAAAAGAAATAAAAACAAAACAAATCCATGCTTCTAGAAGAAGAAAAAATGAAAAGGAAAAATGTGTCTCAAAGCAAAAAGAAAATTCGACATAATCTCCATCCAGGCAACTGTATTCATTCCATTATGGAATTTCCATTGTAGTGTTCCCATCGAGTGCGGATTTCCAAAATTCTTCCAATTTTTTCTGAACATGTGTTTATTGTTTTTTAATTCATTTTTCTCTCACAATTCTTCGGTTGCGAATGATAAATAAAACAAAAGAATTACGTTTTTTGCTCAAGGTTTCACTCACAAAATATATTTAAAAAAAAAAAGAAGAAAATGTTCTGTGTAGAAGACCAGTCATGAAGCGCTATTTTTCTCTCAAGCAAAAAAAAAGAAGAAGGAAACAACAATACAGTTTTTAAAAGGAAAAAAAATCGACTCTTCTTCTGTATGTGCATCACACAAACACACATGCAGAAAGTTTATGACAAAAACACAACTACCAATGATCAATGTAATCATTTAAATAGCAAACACTCACTGACACAAAACACAACAACAACAACAATGTTGACAATTGTACAATTTTCGAAATCTATTTTTTGCACTGCTTTATTTTTCTATGTGGTAAGTGCTGGTCATTTACAATATAAAACAAAACAAAATAAACATGATGATGACGATGATGATGATGATAACACAAAAATTCGACTACTTTTTTTTTCATCTACAAATCGATGAACCACTGCCTACACATATACTGTAAATCTTTCGTCTGAAAACAAAAAACAAAAAGCACACGCAAAAGAAATTTTAACAAAACAAAATATGAAGAACAAAAATCGACAACCAAAATGGGTATTTCACACAAATTTGCTAAAAAAAATAAATAAATAAATAGATACTGAACATTTCTCAATCGATTGAACATGAAGTGAAATATGAATGAAAAGTCATACATAATTTATGGTTTTTATACGTGAGAATTTCGTGTGTGTGTGTTTTACCCGAAGACACAAACGAAAGAAAAACTTGGTTCGAAAACTCTTTGAACTGTCCGAGGTACACACTCACGTTTTTTTCTCATGTTGCTAAATGGTTTGCTAAAATGTTCGATGCGATTTATAGAACACACTCTGGGGACAAACAAAAACAAAGCAGAGAATTTATAATTTTTGTGTTTTTCTACAAACATTTTCAGATCATTATATAAATCAATGTTGTTGTTTTCTCCTGAAACTACAAATAAAACCAACAGCAGAAAATGTTAATCGCACTCAATTTTGCAAATCTCCTTTCTCAAGCAACTCTTTACATCATCTCTTCCGCGGAGTTTTTGAAAAAAAAAATCATATACTCAAACAAAACCAACAAAAAATAACATCTTCTAAATTCATATCTATGACACACAAGACAAAACACACACACACAACAACAATAATAAGAAAAGAGAATACTTTGGACAAAAACTCCGACAACATTTATATATACAATTATCACACGCATCAAAGTGAATAAACAGAATTAACCAAGAAACAAACAAATATTTACAATTGACAATTTCGATGAAAAAATCATTAAGTAATAGGAATTATATGTACTGTAAAAAGTTGGAAATGTAAACCCCCCCCCCCCCCCACTCAGAATACATTTACTTGACAAGTTCAGATAAATCCACAATTTTATGAGTCAGCCTCATTACCAGTGCATTCGCATCGTCTCCCAGCGGAAGTGAATAAGTTGATACAATTTCAATTTCTCATGGGAGTCTCGAATGTGTCCACGGATGAGGTTCGTTATTTCATTATAATTAGACCGCGCATTTTACTTTCCATTATTGAAATAATTAGAAAAGAGAGGAACAATCGAAAATAGTGTAGTTTCTGTATGGAAAAATAGTGTGTCTGAATGGGGTGGAACGTACTCTGCAAACATTCAATCGGTTCCCATAATAATCTAAGCAAATGAGGCTCTGAAAAGAACATAAATTGGATGGACCAGAGAGATGAGTTGGAGAGAGCGATAGAAAGAAAAAAAAAGAACAGAGAAAGAGAGTTAGCGATAGAAAGAGAATTAAATAGAGAATTCCAAGAATGAAGAGTATGTTCCAATGCCATTCAATCTCACTTATATTTTACTTGTTCTGTGGCCATCGGTACGAAATGAGTTTCATTTTAGCAAATTTATTTTTTAAATTCCCCAACCGATTTATGTTTTGTTTTTCTTCTTTATTTATCCACCCAGAAATGTAAGTAGAGAGCTATGTAAGATGAAATAAACATGTTCTTAGACATTAAGTACAATTTGTAACTTGAACTATTCATTTCCATGGCAGCTATTGAACTAAGAATGAAACCAATAAAAAAAAAGAAACCAAGCTCTGAACATTTAATTCGTGACAATTTGTTGTTGGGCCACATGAAAAGAAAATGTTGTAAATCTTTATTTTTATGTTTCATTTTGGATAGAAAGTTGATCATATCCTTGAATGACTTTTTTTTTTAAATTTCAAATAACACATATGAAAAGAAACCTACAAACAAATGCTCATTAAAAAACGAGAAACAAAACCCAAAAATACAAAAAATTGATGCATATTTGAAAGATTTTTGGAAAACCAAAAAAAAATACTACCTGCAAATAATACCATATGGCCCATAATACAAAGGAACAAAGTAGATGTTGTGAATTGGATTGTACATTTTGTGTTGAATGATGTCAAGTCCGTGAAAATTATTATTAGAAATATTATAATGAATACACTGCAAAGAGAAAAATGAAATACTTGAATAAAATCATGAAAAACGGTTTGAGTAATCAATGCTAATGCCAAGATATTTTGAGATTTTTTTCACCGGTGATTATGCAGGTGTATACCGTTCAACGGAGTAAGTCTGTAAGTTTTACGTTGTTGAAGTCAAGTATCTCCTGGGCTAGCTCCTGGGAATTTATACGTGTTGTTGACTGTGAGCGGGATGCATGCTCGAACATCATACTTGCCTTCATCGTATGTATCGACTGATGCTTTGAAATGAATTTATGTATATGGTTACCATTTTAAATAAGCATTCTTTAAAAACGTATTTCTAGATGATTCCAATTGAACTGTTTCCACAAAATGACTTCAATTCAATATCCCATGAAAAATTTAAAAACGCTCACACCGCTCGTAGAAATATTTCAATTCTCAATTTTTAAAATAATTCAAAGTTTTTACCATCGATCTAGAATAGTCTGACCTTTTTCAGAAACAAAGAGTAGGTCTTCAGTTGTTAAATTTTGTAAATTCGAACCCAAACTTACACATTTCTTACAATTTTTTTTACGTCGTCCACATCTAAAATAATTCCAGGATACAAACAACAAAATTATAATAGAATTGGGAATTAAAACCCATGATCGATGTCCATTTTAAACGATTTTTTTTATTTGCTTTCAGGTGTTCCTTGTTCCGGGCTGAAATTACAAAATATGATTTGTTGTGTTGGCCGCTGTGCCGGGATAAAAATATTGTCTCTGTTCAGTATTGATGTGAATTCATTTCCAATCGATATGGTCAACAATGTTTTCTTAATTTATTTCAAATTATCTAACCAATTGAATAGAGTATTTCATTGTTTTCCTTCTTAATTTTCAATATATTAAAGTAGATTCTCCATGAAACGCCTGGATTCTAACGGCTTGTTTCGCTTCGAAGCTATTTTAAACATTTTCTGTTTTCTAAACGAGTAGTAATCCGGCTGAAAATATCTGAGAAAATGAACATATCTGTCATGTTTTGACAAGATTGAGGAACGACATTTCACGCTCTCATTCTCTCGCACAACGTTCGCCACATTTGAATGTGCTCTCTCGTTGACATTTTGTTGCACAATCAACTGAATGATTTTCATGCTGTCAACCAAAGATTAGCAAACGAGACATTTTGTTACAGCCAAAAAACTTGCTAAAAATTTATTCTATTTCTATGGGAATAGCGAAGATATTTAAAAAATGCCATTGATTTGGGACGATTTTAAATGCTTGTGGGTGAAAGATGAGAAACCTTACGACAAAACCCGATTTGTTGTAGTGCGAAAACTCCGTGTGAAGCCATCTGGAAATGTGGTACGTATTCTATCTAATCTCAACTGTATGCATCTCAGTGCCAATTTCTCTATAAATGCCTTCTTTAGGTCGATCAAGGATTTTCGGTCGATCACTTATCAATATGGCCTTCGTGTGCAAACTGTTCAACCGATTGAAGCGGAAACACTGCTTTCCGCGTATTAGAAAGTGCGAAGTGAACAACAACGATCCAACGAACTTGCTGTCCAAAGTGAATCGAAAGATGCTTTGCATTGGGTCACATATCACTGATTTATCATACAAAGACCATTATGATTTCAACAAAGGTAGCCATGATTTTCTTTCTGACCGATTTGGAAGAATGCATTTAGAGATGTTGGTCATACATCGAGATTTCTACAAGTAATCGCACAAAATGTGGGTAAAAACATTCGCCGAGCTTATCTGGAATTCGGAATCAATGCAGATCTAATCAAGACGATTACATCGGTTCTTCGAAACTTGGAATCATTGGAAATTGATGATCGCAGTGAAGGATTCAAAATTCACATCGATTTTCCAGCATTGTGCCAAAATTTGATCGATTTGAAAGTTCGTACGAATATCACGATGGATGCTTGCCGTAAACCGTGGCCAAGTCTGCGAAGTCTTTCGGTGTCGTTCAACTCAAAATTGAAAGTAAGCACATTGATATCGATCATTCGGCAAAATCCACAGCTCACCTGAGCTCAGAATCTCGCCTCCGTTGGCTTTTGCAAAATATGAGTACATGATTTTGTACCCTAGAACGGATATCTGTTTCCCGTTTTCGTACGGAATACGGAAAACGGAACGGAACCGAAACGGAAATTTTTTCCTCGTGTAGAAAACGGAATTTGTACTACTTTTTCATAAAAGTTGCACATGGTGATTCACATTTCGTTATGTATGAGTGATTCTCTCAATTTTTCCATACGGAAACGGAAAAGAGCACGAAAACGGAACGGAATTTCAACCGAACGGAAAACGGAATTATGTACCCAAAATAAGCCAGTACGATTTTCCATATCTTGCTCCATTGGCGAGCTATGGCCCAAATAATGAACACCTTGTATGTGTCATTTTTTCTCCTTATAATGTACTACAAAAAGGGTCACTGTCATCACTTCCACAGATTAGAAATATTAATCGTTCGGGGACAAATAATTTTGTTTATTTGTAATTTACAAATTGTAAAAGTATAATATTGTCAATGTTCAAGATAAATCCATGCGAGAGAGAGCGGGTGCAAAATTATCCGGAAGAAAGATTTTTTTTTGCACAATATCAAAGTTTGGCCTTTTTCAGAAGATCTGTTGAAATCTTCAGATATGAAATTTTGAAAATTTGGAACCATATCTTATTCATTTTCTTCTACTAGTACATCTATCTAAGAATTTCGTATAAATGCCTCAGTATTTTTAATTTATGATCTCCTATTAGGTAAATTAATTGGCACTGCACTGAGAGAAAGAATTGTATATACGAGACGATTAGACAATAGGAACCAAAGAAATGTGAGAAACAGAGACTTAGTCAGAATTGAAACGTATGGCACGGACTATGCTCGTAACCAACCGTTTATTCTAGCGTGTAGATATTTTAACAAAGTAAGACAATCGTTTTTAAATTCGGCATCAAGACAAGTATTCATTGGAAGTGTGGTATATTTAGACAACAGTGTATTTGAAGAATTGTATGTTTAATGGTTGCCGCAGAGTGCCACTTCGAAGTCATTAGGGCTGGTGGCTAGGTGATCCGATTCGGGGTGTTTTCATTGCTTGTGCAAAATTACTAAATGTAAGTGAATTGTATGAAATTATTCAGTCTGTGATTAGACGGTGAAATAAATAAATAAATAAAAATAAAATTTCAAGCTTCACATCTGAAATAGTTATAGGTTACAAAATACAAAATAATAAATGAATTAGGAATTAAAACACATCATTGATGTTCATTTTAAACGATTTTTTTTATTTGCTTTCAGTTGTTCCTTGTTCCGGGCTGAAATTACAAAATATGATTTGTTTTGTTGGCCGCTGTGTGCCAGGATGAAAATATTGTCTCTGTTCAGTATTGGTGTGAATTTATTTCCAATCGATATGGTCAACAGTGTTTTCTTACTTTATATCAAATTATTATCTAACCAGTTGAATTGAGTCTTTCATTATTTTTTTTATTGCTAATTTTCAATATATTAACATAGATTTTTCATTTAACGCATGATTCTAACGGCTTTGTTTCGCTTCAAAATCATTTTTAACATTCTCCGTTTTCTATAAAATGAAAGAGTAGTAATTCGGCTGAAAATATCTGAGAAAATGAACATATCTGTCATGTTTTGACAAGTTTGAGGGACGAAATTTGTCTTTTATTGTTTTTTATTCTACTTTTTTGTCGTTGAAACGGGGATTTTTGAATTCACATTTAAATTCAGGAGTGTTTTTTTTTTCATTTCAAATGAAATTCTTTGACAAAATGTAACTCATTTCTTTTCTTCAAAAGAGGGTCGTTTCAAAGTAACAACACTATGCTAGAACGAGAGTAGGTGAAAGGAGAATACAACAATTGCCATATTTTATATATTGGTTTTGTTTTTGGTGTGGACGCTATTTATTAATATTTTCAGCCTTAATTAAATAATCGATTAGCAAACTGCGGGCGAAAATGCCGATACTTTTTTCTTCTTCTTCGAACAAAAAGAAGAATTTGAGTAAATTAAAAAAAATTCTACATTTGTCATTTATTTGGCTATAAATTCTATTTAAAAAAAACCGTATTTGTTGATTTTGCCCGCAGCCGGTCAATCGTTTAACGAATACACCGTAATTTTAAGTGAATTCACTATTTCAAATAATCAAATAAATCTTTTTTTTTATCAATTTGTTACCAATAAACATTGCACCATTGCTTAATAGTCATTTGATTTCCTCCAAATAATAATAGTAATATATAATAATAATATATGTGTGTGTAAAAAACTATCTTCGTGCAGTAAAATTATATTATCGAAATTTTGTGTGTATGTATGTACAACTTATTTGGCTCAAAAATACTAAAAAAAAAGTATCTTCAGTGTTTTCATCGAAACCAACGAATTGAAAACAAGAAATACATTCATGGATTTGTGTATGCTTTTTTGTTGCTCTTCTGCAATTTTTCTCTTGTTTAAATATCAATCGATTTTGCATTCTTCGGTATGTTTATCCGCAAGCGTCCAACTGATTTTATTGTATTTGAGCTAAATGTATGCTGTTTGATGTTATTGTTCGCGTCGGCATTGCAATTCGTTGTCATCGTCGTCATTTTCGCCGTCGCCGTTTCCGTCCCCGTCGATGTCGTCGTCAATTCATCATTTAGCACGGCCATATTTCGGAAATTATTCATCTTTCCGCTATTATTTTCATCAAAACCCGATTCATCACTAAATTCGGAATCTTCTTCGTTATTATTATTGGTTCGCATATTGGATTGATCATCATCATTTTGATGATCGGATTCGGAGACCCGTTCCAAATTCGATACGGTATGTTTGAGTGGTAATCGTAATAGAGATAGTGTGATGGCATCAATTTCTCGCTCTGATTTTATCAGATCGTCCATATGTGCTGTGGTTATTATGCTCGATGTTTCACAACCACTTGTTATTGAACCTTCATCACTGTCCATCACAAACGGTACAATGGCATTTCCATTTGAATTTGCAAACACATTATTCGTTTCATACAATTTTGTACAATTCTCCAAATTTGAACTGTCCAATTTGATTGGCGAATAATCATCCATATCCTTTGATTGAGAAACTAAACTATTCAATTCTTCATTTTGGCTAAACACCGTACTCTCCGTGCCTAAGCTGCAAAAACTGTTGTCCGTCGAATTGAATGAATCAAAATCGAATGGTGGCATTGCATTTGATGTGCTAATCGGTGTAACGTTGATTTTTTCACCGGTGCCCGTTGCACCAGCTGGATGTGAATCGATTTCGGGTTGACTTAGCGATGTCGACGACGATTTACTCAATTTGGTATCAAAATATGACAAAATTTCACCCGACAACGACGATTTCATGTCATAATCGTTTGTCATCAGTAGATTATTGAAATCATCATCATCATCGAATGACGAATCTTTTGCTATGCTCAACTGTGAATCCACTTTGCCGCCACCAATTTTACGATTCTCAAATTCTGGACTTCGTGACTTAGAGTGTTCGAATGATAAATTACGACGGGCCATCGCTAGATTGCTGCGATTACGTTTGCAATACTTTCGATCGAATGTGGCGGAGTTGGGTGTGGTGGTGGTGGTGGCCGCGAACAGGTCAACATTCGAATATGGTATATGACTCTGGCTCTTTTTAAACGATGGCATCGAACAAATTTCCTCTTCTACATCGGCCTCTTCGATGGCCATCAGTTTTGGTGCGGATTTTGAGCGCTCCATCGGTGGACGATAGTTATTCGCACCAACCGACAGCAATATCTTACGTCGTGGCATGCTCGGATTTTCATACAACGAATTGACCAGCGATAGTCGAGCATTTTGTCGATTGATTTTGTCACGTTTGAACTCTTTTAACGCTTGCGTCAAATTTTCCTGTTAAAAATACACATACAGACATCAAGCAATTAACAATATTTATTTTACAGCATTTTTTTTCCTTTTCGTTTCGTTTCGATGTTTATTTGGTTTTAAA